GATCTGTGTGTGTCTCTCGGTCTCTCTCTATCTCTCTATCTATCTCTCTTTCTAACACCAAATCTCTTTTTTTGCCAACCGCACACCCACGTAACTCGTACCTAGTCACACATGTTTGGGCAACTTGAAACATGTTGTTAGTCATCGAGCAGTTGCACACAGCTAAGCAATATTGTGCTACTGCATTATTTATCTGCGCACCACACTGAACTCTGACAGGGGCGCATCCAGGAGGGGTTCCAGGGGCTCCGCGGAATCCCCTTAAGTTTCGTAAAATACATATACAGTCAACTTGGCTAATAACGACTGCTGCGGATGTAACGACAATTCGCGAATAACGATAGAATTTCCATGCCCAGAGCAAAGTCCCATCCCACTGTAATACAATATTATTATAATGAGACTTCGGGTATAACGACACTTCGCGAATAACGACACCGTTTTGACGCCCCACCGCCGAGTGTCGTTATAAGCGAAGTTGACTGTATTACTGGTAACTATATGCCTGTCTATGTATACGTATCAGCAAGAGTGCATAAAACAAGAGTATGCAACTGTGGGTATGGGTCAGTGCGCGGTGCGCTGCCTACATTACGTAACTTGCCTTCATCACGCTCTGAAAGCATGCATTCAAACTCTCAATTTCTCGCACGAGCCCATCCGTTTTTGCTCGATCTGTTCCAGTACCTACACAATCTCTGAATTCTGGCGCGTGAACTGCAGTTCCGTACGGAAGTTCATTTCAAACTGGAGGGAAAGTGCGGTGTTTGATTTTCCGCAGTGCGCGGACTGCAGCTGAATGATGTAATGAAGGCAGCGCGCCGCGCATCTGGCCCATAGAAAAGAGATCACAGTTGCATACTCTTGTTTATGGACTCTTGGTATCAGCTATTCGGGTTTGACTGCTAGTACACTGGGGTCCCCTGTAGAGATCGTTGGATCCACCGCTGTCTGATGCTATGCAATGAACCTGTCCTGCTGCGCTCCCCCCCCCCCCCCGTTTCCTGTTACGCGAACGCCGTGTAAACTGGTTACCAAGTGTACAGACATGCGTGTGTGTCCTGTGTCTGTGTGTGTGTCTGTCCACGTGCCCCTTGACGGCACACCCCTACAGGCTGCGTCAGCCGCCGGCCGTACAGGCCCACACCGCGCGGCTCTCAGGGGCTGCCGCAAGCGCGGCAACTGTACCAACATCATCCTCAGCAGCAGCAGCAACAACAACAGCAACAGCAGCATGAGGATGAAGGCAGCGGTGGTGTGATTCCCGGCAAACCCTCCAAGACCCGCATGGCAATGTCACACACCAAGTCGGCTTCTGGTGACCAATTCCTGGCGTGGAAAGCTTCCGTCACCCACACCAACTCAATTGGTAGGTTTTGTTACGCAAACCAGCTTAATTGGTAGGTTGTGTCACCCACACCAGTTGAGTTTAATTGGGAGGTTTTGCTACGCAAACCAGCTCAATTGGTAGGTTTGTCACGAAAACCAGTTGAATTTGTAGGTTTTGTCACCCAAACCAGTTCAATTGGTGGGTTTTGCTACGCAAACCAGCTCAATTTGTAGGTTGGTCACGGAAACCAGTTGGATTTGTAGACGTTGTCACCCAAACCAGTTCAATTAGTGGGCTTTGTCTAAAATACCAGTACAATTAGCAGGTTTCGTCTCCCAACCTGGATCGACTGGTGGGTTTCATCTGCCAACCAGGTTCAATTGGCAGGCTTTGTCTCCGAAACCGGTTCAAGTGGCACGTTTAGTCGCTGAAACCAGTTCAATTGGTAGGTTTTGTCTCCCAAAACAGTTCAATTTGTAGATTTTGCCTCCCAAAGCAGTTTTTCAAATCGGTAGGGTTTGTCTCCCTAAACAGCTCAATTGGTAGATCTGTCTCTCAAACCAGCTCAGCTGGTAGGTTTTGTCTACTAACGAGGGTAGGCCTGCACTGGGTGTTATACTTCAGTACAATCACGTACGCCATTCAAGTCAGTTGTGAATCTGCGTTAGTTTTGAGAAACCTGTCCCAAAACAGACTCCGTAGCTGCTGATGATGACAAACACACAGTTATCTCTCATTAGTGGCATGTCTCGCCAATGTCCTTGATGTGTGTTTGTGTGTGTGTGTGTGTGTGTACGCGGCTATGTGTGTGTGTGTGCGTGTGCGTGCGTGCATGCACGCACATGTATGTGTTCGTGTGTGCATGCATATGTGCATGTGTGCATCTGTTTGTGTGTGTATGGGTGTGTGTGTGCGCATGTATGCGCGTGTGCATGTATGCGTGTGTGTGTGTGTGTGTGTGTGTGCATGTATGCGTGTGTGCATGTATGCGTGTGTGCACGTGACTGTGTGTTTGTGTTCAGACGAAGTCACACGTTACCAGAGCTACCTGAAAGAAGAGTCGATACGCCGCGGCAATAGATCTCGGTCGTCCAGTTTGGGCAGGATGCATTCCGTGACTTGTGAGTCTTCAGCCTATCATAATATGCCATTCTACTGTCCTCAGCCTATCATAATAATTATGCCATTCTACTGTCCTCAGCCAATCATAATGCCATCCTAATGTGTTCTACAAGTGCACTCATGCCTCGTTTACCCCGGCGGTCTGGGACCGAACACTGCACGTAACTTTGAAATGTCCATAACTCCGAATCACATGTATTCTGATGAGGATAGGCCATACATATGGCACATGACATCACTAACTCATTTCCACAGAAAGTGAAAAGACTCGAAAAGAGCAGTCCATTTTTACTGCCCTCTACAAGTTACTGGCAAGACAAAAATTATATCAGGGCTGCCACTTGCTCCGATTTTTTCGGAAATCGTCCGATTTTTGATCGCCTGTCGGACAAACCGACCGATTTTGTTCCCAAAGAGGGACAACCGATTATTTTTTATTTTTAGCGCTTTTTAGTTCACTTTGCCATTCGGCGCTTCCAGGTCGCGTTTGGCCAGTCCTTGTCCATGTACGTGTTCATGTGGCTGTAAAATGCACGCGTGCATGTGTGTGGACAGTTAAAAAAATGTGTTCTGGGGCCCCAACAGCAAGCCATTTTCCTAAAAAATGTTCAGCTGGGGACACCCCGGACCCCCATCAACTTTTTCTCCTTCCAAGTGTGGCAGCCCTGTAATATGGTTTTCGGTGAATCTTTGGCAACTTTGTGGTGAGCCTGACCTGCTCACCTCCCACCGCTTTAGGAGCTACGTCTGCGCCGTGATCCATAGAGGTTGGTGGCGTTCCCTCCAGCCGAGTCTCACGTAAACCGGGATTTTTTTGCAAATAAGTACTTTGTCCCCTCCGGGTCCAATGTGCATTTTCTCTACTTTCTAACAACGGCACTATATCCAGTAAAGGCCAGTGTTGATCGGAGTTAC